GTGTGTGTGTGTGTGTAGTGTGTGTTTGTGTTTGTTTTTGTATATGTGTGTGTTTGTGTGTGAGAGAGATGCAACAACCCCCGGGGCGGTGCCACTGACTGAAGTGTCTTTAAGCCATTCCCAAAGGGGGAACATTTCTCGTTCATGCACAGTAGAATTGTAAATGGGCTGATTCATCAATGTCACGCTCATAACTGTGCCTGATCTACATCAGGGAACTGCTGCTTTCTTTTTCCTAATCCTTACTGTTGTCATTTTTCCTCTTGTGACCCACTATTTCCGGGGTGCCTTGATAGTCGAAGCAGACTTTGTGCTGTTGAAGTTAGAGAGGTGAGCAGAGTAAGTCTGATTCCCTCTAAGGACTTCTCTGTTGACATCCACCACTTGTCGCTCATATGACCTTAAGCTGTTGTGAGCGCTGTGAAACCTCTACTAAACTAAAAAACTAGGGAGGGAGGGAGGGAGAGAGAGAGAGAGAGTGAGAGAGAGAGAGAGAGAGAGAGAGAGAGAGAGAGAGAGAGAGAGAGAGAGAGAGAGAGAGAGAGAGATTTGTGTTGAAATGAAACTGTGTCAGAATTAGTTCCATATTCAATTATACATCATGGTATTTATTTACATTTTAAAATGAGAAGAAACAACCCTCATCCCTCTCTCTAGTGAAGATGAAATTGTTGATGATCGTAAAAGGAATATATTACAGCTTTGGGCATTTCACATGTGTGACATGATTTCTTAAAAAAACTGAACATTATTTCCAAGGAAATGTTAATGTGAGCAGGATACAGTTATCTTTAAATCTTTCATTTAGACTTGAAATAATTCAGCTATCACCTGTGTTCCCCTACCTATTCCCTTTGTAACAGGCGGAGAAGAAGCGGCAAGAGGAGAAGATGAAGCGTGACCAGTTGAGCGACCATCACTTAGACCTCATTGAAAAACAGCGACTCTACTTTAAGACTGTCAAGGACTTCAAGGAGGAATGCCGTAAAAATGAGATCCTGCTGTCGAAACTCAGAAGCCAGTAACAGGGAACAGTGGATGTTGTGTTGTTTTTCTCTCTATCTGTCCCCTCCTCCCTCCCTCCCCCTTTCTCTCTCTCTCTCTCTCTCTCTCTCTCTCTCTCTCTCTCTCTCTCTCTCTCAACATTTCTTTTTCTTGGCCCTTCCCTTTTCCTGATTAAAAAGGAAAAGAGAGAGAGCCAATTGTGTTGGTCCCTTTTATGTTTTTTTCCTCCTATTCTGGGTAGTACTGGAAAATGCAGGGTTTACTTTTGAATACCCATTAAAAAAATCTGTGACTGTACTTTTTAAAATCTTTGTGCTATTACTTTTAACTTTAAGTTTAAGGGTTCTATCTTTGCTTTTTCATTGTTATCCTCGTTATAAAGTATAATTTATTTTTCTAAACATGGCTTTTCTGGAGGCTGTTTGATGTTTACGTTTTTGTTTTTTTTTGTTGTTTTTTTACAATTGTTTTTTCCTTACTTTCAACCTCACCGTTTCTTTTTGTGTGTGTGTGTGTTTTTTTGTTTGTTTGTTTTTTTGTTAGGATTTTTAGGTTTTTTTGGCTAGTTTGATGTTTACCTTTGTTTTTTACATTGCTTTGAATTTTCCTTACTTTCAACCTCAGTTTGTTTTTTGTGTTTTTTTTAAATTGCTTTTTGTTGTTAGGATTATATTTGAAAGAACTGAACCTGCTTAGATTGGCCAGTTATTCTTTTTTTTTTTTAATTCAAACTTTTCAGGGCCTTTTTACTTAAACTCCTTGATTGGATTTGAGAGAAGTTTTTTCAGCATTGAGACTATTTTTACTGTGTTACCACTGTCCACAGTGATCTTTAGCAATCTTAAGCTAATTTTACTTGACATTAGAATATATTTTCTGTGACTGTCTACTGTCAACGATTTATACAACACTCGTACTGTGCAAGCTGTGTTTTGCTGCATAATATGGCTATAATTAGTGATAGAAGTTCTTTCTGAGGCATAGATTCTTGCAAATGATTTGTTTTTTCTATAATTTGTATTTCCTTTTCTCTTTTTTTTATGTTTATTATTTTGTGTTTTCTTTAATGGATGCCATTCAATTCAGTTTATATACAACCAGGATATATGAAACAGAAGGATCTTTTTGCTTAGACTTGAATATTGTCCTGACCATTTTCATATATTATTCCGTATACATACCGAATGTCCTCGGTACAAGGTATATAATGCATTTGTGCTCATGTCCATACTGTGATGGATTGAATAGCATTACATTTTATTATTTGTTATGTAATTGTAAGAATTTGCATTTAGCTCTACATTTTTTTTCTTTAAGAAATGTTTCATGTTAAGAGCGTTTCTTCCATGTTTAAAAAGTGATCATTATGTTTGACATTTGAGATTTATTATCAAGAGACGCATAACTTGGAGCACTGTTCATGGAGTCGAGGGCAAAATAAAAATTTGTTTGAGAGAGGCCATTTGTGCCTGTATACCTTTAGAATTTTTTTGTTTGTACTGTACTTTATTTTTGTTTACTCTCTTTTCTTGATGTTAATGAGATTGTCCCTTGTTACGTTCATTCTGTCTGTGCTTCCAATTTCCCGCTCTCTAGTATAGTTATGTGTATGTATTGTCCTTGACACCAAGTGAAGATATGCTTATGCATTTTGATGTGATGGGGTTTTAAATTTTGAGTCAGCTTTCATTTATGAGTGATGACTTTTTAATGACAGGTCTGTGTTAAGGTAACAAATGGTGATAGTAGTTTGGCAAATGGATGCAAGTGTAATGAGTGATGTTAAACCTAATATTTGGTTGTGAATAGGTTTGTGGGTGGTCGGCTGGTGCTCTTGTGGGTTTTGCTCCTTCTTTCCTTTCAAACATTTATCATCCTTATCTCTCCTCCTTTTTTGTGTTTGTTACTCCCTTGTAACACCTCTAATCTTCGGCACTTAATTGACCATATTGTGTTGCAAGTGCCTTAACGCTCTTACTAAAACTAACTGAGAATAGGTTTGAATAATTTATTTATTTTTTAAAAAATCATAACGATGCCATGACAGGATTAGGGAGCAATGAATATATTTTTGTCTGTGTATATATTATATGTGCTATTGCATGTTTTTGTGTTTTTACTTGTACGTCTTTTTGAATGGGTTTTTGTTCCTTTTAGTTAAAGAGTTACTCATTGGTGAGATCCTAGTCGTGCAATTTTAGAGAGGCATGAAATAAGACACAAGTGCCAAAAATTTAAGGAGGAAGAAAAAGACCTGTCGTCACTGACTTTGTGCCAGCAATTTCGCATATACAGTTGTGAGGTGTCAACTTTTGTGGCTGTACAAAAATCTCCAATACTGGTCAAAGAACTGTTCACACATGGGTTTCAATTTACTTCCTTCAACTGAAGGCTGGTTACTGGAGCACCGATGATCTAGAACTTAGGTACAAAACGGAAAGTGAAAACAGTTACTTTTCTTGTTGGCTAAAACGTTTATCAAAATATCTAAATGACAAACAGAAGTTTTACTATACAAAAGTCACAAGGTCCCGCTCTGACTCACTCTGAAGGTCTCCATTCGGCTAAGATCCCGCATTTCAGATAATAATTTGCAGATAAAGAAACCCGGGCGGGTACAACCACTCAGCCAAGAGTGAAAAGTTGAGACCATTGAACTTGCGTCACAGATCAGCCTACTCTTATGAATGTGACCTCATGAGCGTTGTAAATCTCGATGAAACAGTGCGATGTTTGCCCCGGGCGGAATAACACCGAGGTGTGTGGGCTGGCCGCGTTTTCCCGCAACGCCACACGTGTGTCTGAGCCCTCCACCTTACCTTACAACACACGCTGGGTGGGTAGGGCCCAGCGGGATCTAATCAAACTGTAAACTCTCCTCTGACCATTGCAATAGTTGTCTCAACTCCAGAATTTGCGAGACGACTGTCGTCAGAGATGGAAAGCTATAAATTTTGGGCATGTACAGGGGAGGGGCAACTGGATGAGGTCTTGAGAGACTCACGATAAGATAATAAGAAAAAATGGCATGCCTCATACCACTGTGATTGGTCATCAAGTTTGACCATTCTTTGCTTGTCATAGCCATAAATCATGAATCCACGCAGGGGTCACGTCAGTTCATTTTAGAGTGAAGGGAGATCATTTTACCAGTTATGGGTCTTAACGTGGGTCACCGCAGATTCTCCACTTGGTGCGTCGGCTAAGATCCCACATTTCCTTGCTCCCGGGAACCGGGATCTTAGGCGAAGACTACTGTACTGTATATATTCAGTGGAATTCGGATTCAACAAATTCATAGGGCCTGTCCTTCAATTTCGTCGAATCCGAGTGTTCATTATAGCAAATGTGAGGTTTCTGGGTAAATTACAGGCACCGAACAAGTTTTATATATAATGTATTCAATTTTCTCAATCAAACGTAGTTTTGTTTCAAATGAGAGGCGATTTCGTTTCTTTGATGTCGAAGAAATGCTGGAAATCCCAGGAGAATACACGGAACTCTTTCAAACACACACTGCGTAAAAGGGCTGGTTCTTTCAAATACACGCTTGTGTTATTTATCATTTATAACGTTTTGTTTGCCGAACAAGTTATGTTGCTGTGTATATTAGTATACGGCAGCGTTTGGCTCCACAGTCCAGCGCGCAATTCATTACTTAGATCTATGTCAAGATTAGTTTATCATTGCAATATTGATCAGTACCCGAGGGAAAAAAACAAAACTGTGACGCGTTTGTATCTCCACTGAACTTCCACGCTAAGACCGCTGGTCTCCCTTCCGCCAAGGCCCCATACAAATGCACACAGTCGCACATGTGTTGGCCGCCCGTCCGACGCCGACACACGCTAAGACATGTTTGAGTGCTAACAATGTGTGTATTAGTATGACTGTTGGCGGCTGATTGGTCGCATGAGGCAGTTCACCCTACAAACGACTTCGTTGAATCCAAGCTTGTTCATTAATGTGTTCGTTGAATCCGATGAGTTAGTTTTATTGATTTTTATGAATAAAAAACAGGCAATCAAACTCCCTTCGTTGAATCCGAGTTTCCGTTGAATCTGAGTTCGTTGAAATCGAGTCCCACTGTGTTAGTCATTAAATATTGCTTACGAACTATGGACTTCATACTGGCGAATAAACATTTTTAAAGAAAAGATGCCAAATGTTCTCTTGTTGGTATTTCCTTTTAGGAATCCTAATGTGAATTATGGGAGCAACGGAACAAAGGTGCGATTCAACCCCCCTCCCGCCTCAAACCACACACACACACGCGCGCACACACACACACACACACACACACACACACACACACACACACACACACACATAAACACACACTTAGGGAATGGAATGAGGGAAAATATAACTTGGGAGACAGCTGGTACTTCAATGCGTACCATCTAAATAAATACGGCTATTTTGCACGTAATATGCCACATAATTTCAGAAACTGGATAAGGTAGATTCATGAAGGTTGATTGTCATATATCCACATAACTTGAGCGATAGTCTTAGGTCGAGAGGACATAATACCGGGAACAATATACGGATACAGAAGAAGTTTCGCAATTTACTAGTCTGCGAAATGTAGCGTCGTTAGCGGTGAACAGAGACAACAGGAAACAATTGCCTCTTTTGTATACTTGCAGCCGTGCGACAAGTGGGCGCCGAGTGGAACATTTTCTAGTGTGTCGCGGAGATTTCAGAGCTGAGTATGTAAATCATTATATCTAATGCGGTGTTCACATATACAGGAAAAGAGTCGACGAGCAATTCCCGAAAAGATAATGTCAAATTCGGGTTTAATCGTGACGAGCATCTGGCCATGACTGTTGACATTATTGTGTCGGTGAGCACTCTGGGAGACGCTCTACCAGCAGTAATTAAGGACGGCAAGCATCTCGCCGAGCGTTTTGCCGAGCAATTAATTTGAATCCTGGTCGCATGCAGAGCCAAGAAACGTAGCAGCCGAGTAAATTTCACGCGCCGACAAACTCGCCGACCATACTGACCATCTTGCCGACCCGTCGCCAAGTTGGTCGGCATTCAATGTTATAATATATAAAGGGGAGGGGGAGAGGAGGCAAATGATTGTG